GTTCTGAAATTCCACAATTATAGTGTACATTACTCTCTCCCTACCTTTGGCAGGCTTGGCTGTTATTGTCTGCAAGTTTGCTGTTTCTGCTTCTACATCTGAGATGACCTTTCCACAGCAATAATGTTTAGGGAGAAAAACATTACTAGCTAATATATTTTGTTTTCTGAGGTTCCACTTTATGCTGTTCTTCTGCAGTGTCACCTACATGGTCCACTACTCTGAATCTAAATCCATCTTTACACAACAGCTCCTTAATTTGGAACTTCATGGTAAAGCAAACATATGGAAAGTAAAATTAAATCTAGATAGGAATACTGTCTACTAACGTACCTGGGGAACAATCTCCTCCATCAATCTTCTGAGTCCCTGAAGTGTCATGTCTGAGATTAAATCCCTCCCACTGTGCCATGCAACAGCAGCAGAATCACTCAGCAGTGATTGCTGCATTGCAACGTGCCTCCATACAGCACAAACCTGTTTGACGAGCACAAATACATGCCTAAAGAAAGACAGATAAGAATGTGTGGGGCTAGAGAAAAGAATAAATGGGGTGAAAATAAGAGGGAGGAAATGGAGACAAGAGTGAGGTGTGAATGAAAAAGAACGGAAGTTAATGAGAAGAAAGCAAGAGTGGCTGCAAGAGAAAGAGTTCTGCAAGAGCATTCACCTGCATCTTCAAATTGTTGCCCCTTAATGCCTGTTTTCAGTAGAAATTCCTCACTGACCCCAGTTTCAGTACCTGTCTGTATTTCCCCATTACAGCCCACAGAGAGATTGGCCAGCATTTTTTTATGCCTTGCCCATTGAACAGTATTGTGGAGACACTGACATGACTTGAAGTTCTGAAATTTCACCTCTGATAGTCATTCAAACATTTAATTTCTTAAATCTATTGCCATTCACTGAGACTTGGCTTCCATAACCTCTTTAAAGAAGAGAACAGAAATGATTTTTTAAAAAATGTATCCTTTTCTTTTTGTAATCAAGAATTCCAGTATTTAATGTTTGTACAGAGATGATTTTTCCCCCAGTATGTTGGTTTTGTTGTTTTCTGTGCTATTATATATGCTGCGGACATGAACTTATTTCCACCTTTTCCTATCATCCTTTTCTTGCTCAGTTCTGCACCAAAGCCATGACCTTGGGTCTGGGACCATTAACAACACGTTCCACAAAGGGTCTGCCTCCAAAAGATATGAGATTCTGATAAATAAGTGGGATTCAGATTTTTATCTCTGGGTGAAGCTGGCATTTATCATAGGGTTTCTATATCTGTGCTCGTAATCCCTGAGGAGGAGTACGATGTTCAAAAACATAATGGAAAAAAATTACATAAAGTAAACAGCAAAAGGAAACTGTGACTGAACTTGGGGGACCCCTGGAGTGAGGGGTCTCAGCTGAACTGGCTGAGGCACAGTTCAGTGCTGTGAAACAGCCTCAGCTCTCCATGAAGTCACGTTGTGGGGATTCGAGATGTCTTGGTATCTCTTTCCCTTGCTCTTGGCTGTATTACTAAGTGCTGCCTTAGCATCTTCTCTCCCTAACAGTGACACTTTTTCCTCAGATCTGTAACCTATAGGTTTGGGACAGAACTATGTCACTCTTCCCACTTATTGATTTCCCTTTTCATTTTACCTTACTGCCTAGTGTAACACCTGTTATCCTTCAGCCTCTCTGGTCTCTCTCATCTTGTTCATGAGATCTCTGCTGTTCAGAGCAGTCTTCTGGCTTCTGGCTTTTTCCTGAGGTCACACCGTATTGTTTTTCTCATCTTGTGGTCTAACAGTTATTCCCTTTGCTGGCAATGCTCAGCTCCCATTTCTCTGAGCACTTTAAACTGCAGGAAGACAAAAAGGATTCCTGCAGTCTCAAATAAATCTCCTGAGGGGTCTGGCAGGAAGTGATGCTGTAATGGTACACTATGGTGCTGCCCTACCAGTAGTAATGAATATTGGGTGAGGCTGATCACTGGCTCTACCAGACAACTTACAGAAATAGTCCTAACCTTCAACACCTTTTCTCTGAAGTTTGTAAGAAACTGATACATCGTCACTGACTGTTGCGAAATGATGAGAGACAATTTTTTGCTCCATATTTGAGAATTATCAGTGGGGCACAGTATCTTCTATACAATAGCCCTTATGTGAGAGAAGTAATGAATATTGCTTTGGATGAGAAACGCATAAGACTCAAAACTGGAAAATCAGGAGACATAGCTAATCAAGACTGAAGTATTCTGCTAACCTCTGTGTTTGATTATGAAGTGAATCAGATCCATCTGAGCAGGAATTGTTTTAGAGAGTATGAAGAGTGATGTTTTGTGAAGGGATGACCTTATGACAACAGAGAAGTGGAAGCATATTTTTATCAATACAAAAGTATCCAATAGTAACAGAGCAATAACTGGAATAGAAGATGGTAACATTACCTAATTTATGTACATATAATAAACAATTATATTGTATACAGAATTTATGTGTGTGTTCAATTATTTCTTCATTAGCTAGTTACACCAACATAGTCACTGCATACAGTGGAAGTGAGAAAACCCAAGTGGGAAGGTAGACCCAGGATGGGAGGTGATTTTGCCCTGCTGAAGTTTATGGTTCTCTGCAGCTCTCAAGAGTTTGAGGCTGAACAAAGCCTCAGTAACACCATGCTGATTTGCAGATGTCGTGTACCCCAGTCATATACTCCTTGTGATACTCTTTGAGAAATCTATGGCTCAAAGGCGCATTTCACAGCTCCTTGCTCTCAGTCACTCGCACTATAAGCCTGTGACTTCAAAGAGACATCTGAAAGGAAATGTTTGGAATGAAAAAAGGAAAAAAAAAAGGAAAAAGATTGTCTGCTTGTGCTTTTTTTTTTTTTCTGTTCATGATATAACAGGCTTAAGATGCTTTGGTATAACTGCTTCGCAGTGGGTTATTTTTCCCTTTTTACTTTACAAAAACACTAAAAGAAACTGGCAGTGAGGAAGAAAACAGCTGTGTGATCCCAATCCAGATGCTTTCATCTTAGAGGGGGCTTGTCAAAGAGCAGGCAAGTGACTTTCCATCTCTAAGCAGGCTCCTTGAGTTGAGCTGGAATGATGTCCAAGACAGTGATTTTCAGAGGTTTTCCTATTAGAACTTAAAGCAGTAGCACATGCTAAGGCATATACTGCTCCCTGCTGCAGATCCTGTCAGAGTAAACAAGAAAAATCTCTGAGGGTTGGTGGTGCCCTTTCAGGCTGTAGGCAAATCACTAAGGTGACATTTTCTCTTGTTTCTTAGTGTAAATGAGGTTCAGTTCTCAATTTAATACTTTTTAAGACTTTAAAAATGTTATCTATAACATCAACGTCCTCCACACATATGTAGTCCTGAATGTCTTTCATGAAGTTTCTAAAGTGTTGGGGTGGTTTTTTGTGGGATTTTGTTTTCTTTTCTTTTTGTTTCAGTCTGTGATATGCAATGCAATCAATTGAATGTCTGAAGCACGGAACAACACTGGATAAATAAAATGCGGACACTCTTGTTTGTAAAAAGACACAGTGAAGGGATTTGCCGTTAGGTTAACGTTTAACCTCTTAATCTTGCTAATGTTGTGGTTGGAAAATGCTTTTTAAATTTAATTATTCACTTCTGTACATTTACTACTTTGCAAATGAGCATTTAAAAATATCATTTCTCTTTACAGAGACCTGTAATAATTTTGTATCCACTCATAACGATGCTGATCATCCTAAGCAAGTGCTGCCCAACCCACCATGCCACTGACAGCAGCTTTTATTCTCTTCCTAATTGTCTAAGGTTTGCATATATCAGACCATATAATTTAAGGGATTTTGTGCTTTCTCCTTTACCCCACCATATGCTAGAAGCATTTCAAATCTTAGTAGATTATGGTTTTGCATCTAAATAAAGAGCCTTTTAGTAACCCAAGTAGTAAAAATCTCAATAACTAATTGGGGTTGAGTGACATTGTCCTGAGGGGAGACTTATTCCAGAAAATGGTCTAAATTATTAATGTTTTGATAAATAGGAATAAACTCAGGAGGTAACTTATTCTGGTTTCTACATAAGATGCAGGTCTATTAGTATATTCCCTATATTTTCATATCAATTTCTCAAATGTTTGGAAGAGCAGGTAATGATTTTTGATTTTCTTTTAATAGAGGATACTGTGGTGGGTCTGCTGTGTTTGAAAACTCTTGCCTTGGTGACTGTCCAGTGCAACAGAAAGTTGAAAACTGTATTGGTTTAACTGTATGGTAAGGATGGCCACTGTGGGAGTAGATGGCAAGGAAATATTTATCAAAACACTGTCCAACAGTATCCAACACCCTGCCTCACAATATCAGCTAACATGATCCAGGCTGACCACTATGGTCGGCTGGGTGGTCAGTGGAGAATGACAGCACAATTAGGTAAAAAAACATGGATATCTTCCCACTTCTCATACTCCCGCATACAGGAGTAAGAGAGTCATGGGGACTCCATGCTGAGACAGAAAGGAAAGTGAAAAGTGGTACCATCACCGCTTCTTTTTCATCAATAATCTTACTTATGCTTCTAAGACCTGACACAAGGGATGCCTCAGTTATCCATACAGGCTGTAAAACAGCACAAGATAAAAGAATGTAAGGGTTGTGGAAAAATACAGGACAATTCCTTACCTACATCCTGCACAGAAGTGTATTAATTCTTTCTTTCATTATCTCCAAGGTAGGTATTACAAAGGCAAAATCAATTTAGGTCAATGATAGCACATTTACATTGCATCACCTTTGCAAAGAAGATCAAACATCCAAAAGATGACATTCACAAATAATACAATTATATCTGATAAGAAGAAAAATGTCTTTTCTAGCTACTCCTGGTGGATCTTGTCATTTAATAAATTCATATTCCATACTTCTGAACAATCTGTTTATAATTGAACATAGTAACACAGTTTCATAGCTATTTTCAGATACAGGAACAGCAGAGAGCTTAAGAGAACAGAACTCTTACACTTTTTCTGGGAGAATCTCTTCTTGCTGCCTTGTAGTCTTCAGAGGTGAAGGGTGTTTGTTGCTCTGCATCAGTGGACTGGTTTAGTGCTCCAGATAGTGAGAATCTGATGCAATTTACCTTGTACTAAGCAGAGTCAATATGACTTAAACTCCCATGTAAATACACATGGACTTCAAACACAAACAGAAATTTAAGTTTCAGGCATTCTAGTAAATTTGTCATGAACCTGCTGCATATGAATTGTGATACCTTCTGTTCTTTCAATACTGGGAAATGGGGATGTTTGAGAATAAGTAAATGGTAAGTAAGTGGTAATGCAGCCTGTTCCAGTATTTGGCTGAGGATAAAGATAATGCATTAAAAAGAGGAAAAACATGTAGGTTTCCTAGTTTCTCTTTTTAAATCTTGAGATGAACATTGTGCTTCTTTGGTCAGAAAGTGGTTCAGTGTACCATGTTTGTTAGGGTCAGTATAAAAATATAGCTTATGTAGTAAATTCGGATGAGTGAGACAAAAGTTTTGGGTTTGCAGGGCTTTATACAGGAAGTGAAAAAATACATTTGAGATTTTTCTCTTTTCGAAAAGAAAGTTTATAGTTGTTTCGAGACTTATAAGCAAACTAATAAAGGTAGTAGTATTAAAAATGGGGAATGCCAAGTAGTTTAGTGCTTAATTTTAGAAAAAAAAATTGTTAGAATGTTCATATATGACTTTCTGAAGTTTATGAATGAGTTTTAGTTGAGATTGTTTCTGGAGCAGCCAAGAACTGCCCAGCACAGCAGGGTCCTTACCCTGTCTGAAACTATGTGCCATAACCAAATTATCGATTTGGGAATAATGGTGTTTAAAACAGGCAAATTATAAAATCATGACAAATGTATATGGAGAGATCTTCTGGTCACCAAAACAGATGCAAATTCTCTTAAATTAAGTTTAACTACAGTTCTTAAAAGCATCCATTAGTTGTCTATTGAGCAATTTTTTTAGATTCGACTTTTTGTACAGTTTCACTTTGGTTGTTACTAATGTTGGGCAACAATTACCCTCCAAGGTGTCCGTCACTTTCTATTTTCACTGTGGCAAACATATGGTCTGCACATAAGTGGGCAATTTTAAACAGGTAACTGTGAGGAACTTTCAGTATAACCCAACCAGCAGAGACAGCAAAGCAGCACAGCCCACAGCCCATCTCCTGCTGCTTTGAGAATACTCAGAAGACACCTGTGTGCCTTTTTCTCTTGCAGGACGCATGTAGGAAGACTGTGAACAAAAAGAAAATGCATCCCAGTGTCAGATATCTCTGGAATCTGCTCTTTCACAGAGTGGGAAAATTCTCTTTTGCGTTGTATATGTGATCCTACTCAACATCATGTAATCTAGTATTATTTCCTCTATTTTAAGGAATAGAGTTGAGTGTTTTCCTTCCTTTCTTCCTTCCTTTTACAGCCTGGATGCTTTATTCCTATTGTGTTGTTTTGGTTATCTCCTTTTGTTTCCCTATTTTTATTCAAGGAGCTGTTATATCAGTGAGCTGTTATATCAGCAGCTACTCCAGAAAACACAGAAGTTTGTTAGAGCTAATAGCTATTCAAGCAATCATTTTTCCTGCTTCCTTAAAATGAATCTGTTCTGAAAGAGATAGAAAATCAAAATCTCATAGTACCTGCAAAGTATAATCTCTCCTTCTCCATATGTGCATGGATGGATTACATTGTAGTTTTACTTCCTATCCTTTTTGTTCTTTGCTAATATATTTCTCAATATGGTTGATCTGCATTGCATTTTTTCCTCTCTCTTTTTGTCATGTTGTACACAAGGGTTTTGGACAAAGGACAGTAAATCCAATATAATCCAAATTATATGTGCTAATCAACAGTAACCGGTACTTCTATCAGAAAGTGCACACCCATTGAATGTACAGTGCCTTCCACATTTCTTCTTCTATATTGTTTGGTTTTGAGATTCACAGCATTAAGCCGAGCTCCCTCTGTAACTAACAGAGCTATCTATTAATCACAAAAATACACAGATACTATTTGCTTGTATTAAATTCACTTTATCTGCTCTGCAGACATGCTACTTTTGTGCACATTTATATTTTTAAGAATTAAATATCAGGCTTCTCATGAAAACAGCAATCATTGGGAGGATATTACAGAATGTTCATGTAGTGAGTTGTGAAATTCCATACATCAGCATTGGCACTGGAAGCCTGATTTGGAGAGTGCTGAGAGCAGGGGTCTACTGTATAAGATACATTACTCGTCTAAACTCCCATTTCAGAGTCTGAAATCTCATGGTAAATTGCTCTGAAAAAAAATCAATAGGTCAAAAGCCCTGTGTATGCCAATGGCAAAACTTCTGTTGCTTTTGGTAGGCTTGTGAGTTTTCTGTAAAATAGGAAAAAAGAAGGATTGGTGTCTGGGGACTAGTCCCAGTTCACTGTTTTATTGGATCCAGAATCATATTCTGCTTTTCCCTGCTGTAAGCTGTCCTGGGATCACACTTGCTACTCATCACAGGAGAAAAATCTGTCTTCAATACCTGTTTGTAACATTTAGAGTGCCCAACCAAGCGTTTCCTCCTTCTGAAGGACAACATTTCTCTTTTATCCCCTTAGCACAGGGTCATGCAATGCTACCTGGGGCTGTGACTGTCGCCAGGTTATTGGCACACATAATATTTTGGGGAAAAATAATCTGCAAAGTATAACATTGGGTTCAGGGTTGTAGTTTAATGGGCTTCTGAGAATCCCAGAGCTGTAGATACAGTCTGCTTTGAAGACTTTTTTTCCGGGTGTTTTTCCTGGACAGTGCTTCCCTACTTTTAAGCACCTGCTGCAGTTCACCCATTCTGTTTGTGTACAAACGGATCTCCATGTATATAACTATTTTAAATTCATAAAGTAACATGGAACCTTAACTGATAAAAGTGCTTTGTAAATGATGGAGACTAGTAGAAGCATCATAACAAGGAGCATAATAATAGTACTATGAAGAACACAATAAGCAGCAGAACGACTAAGGAATAAAATCTCATTGTCATTCATCTAGTCTATGGAGGAGATGTGCATAACAGACATTCCTTTATAAATTAGAAGTTAAAACTGTGAAAAGAGCTGTAGGGAGAAGAACTTCTGAGATGGCATAGCATAGCATGGCATGACATGGCGTGGGTTGGAGGAGGTCCTGACAAAGGTGAGGTTCTCACAGTACAAACAGAAGGAGAGGAAATAAATTGTATGACTGCCATGGACAACTGTTTCTCTAAACAAAATAAAATAGATCTAAACCATCACCATTTTTACTCAAATCTTGTCATTGAGTTAATAAGACGAAGAAACAAATAAATAACAAATAGCAAAACAAATCGAACTCTCCTACATTTGCACTCTCACCTCCTAAAACCCAAAAACTATGTTCCCTGTAGTAGAAACATTAGTACAAGATTCAGACTTTTCTGTAACTCCTTTATGCCACTCCTGTGGTGTAAGGTAATGGAAAAGCTTCCAGACAACTGAATATTTTCCCCCTGCTGGAAAATCCCTGGGTGGCTTAGACCCAGCATTTAAAACCACTTAAAAATGTGAAGAACTTCAAGATACCACAGGAGGCCACATATAACAGTTTAACACGAAGGCCACTAATTAAAGCTCTCTCTGTATAAAAGCAAATGCAAAAAGCAATGCTAGATATATATGTCTCCCTCTCACAAAAAATCAATGGAGGCTACGGGACATTTCTTAGAGAACTGTTGGATGGAAGATTGTTGTTTCAATTCAGTCACCAAACTCACACAGAGTGACTGAAGTGATGCAGCATTCCCAGGGGCAGCTAGGCTCTGCCTGCAAGACTGGAGGTAAGAATCACCACTGGGGTAAATATGGTGTTTCCTCCTTCCACTCACATTGCTTTCTACCCTGATTCTCCTAAGAGTTACAGTTGCAGTGGCAGTGGCAGTTATCACTGGGCAACGGGTGTAATATAGCAGGTATTTCTAATTTAAAAAAATGCTTTTGTCCAGTAACTGATGCATCTTGGAAAGTCCAAGATCAGTGATAGAGAATATAGTATTTGATAGCCTGAAGCATGTGGCCTGTGAGAGAAGGTTGAGGGATATGGGGGTGTTTAGCCTGGAGGAGAGATGGCTGTGGTAGCAGCTGCCAAATACCCACAGGAGATCGACTGAGAAGATGGAACCAGTCTTTTTATAGTGGTGTGTGGTGGGAGGATGAAAGAAAACAGACATAGGAGTTTGATGATATTTAAGGAAAAGAAAATCACTACAAGGCCATCAAAGCAGTGGACACAGAGATTGTATATAGGCTCCTTGGGAGTTTTTCAGGCCACAATGGATAAAACCCTGAGCAACCTGGTGTGAGCTTGACACTGACCCTACTTTGAGTATGAAATTGGAGTGGAGACCTCCTGAGGCCCCATCCACATGAGTTATTCTGTGCTTCTGTGGATATATGATTATAGCATAGGCCATGAAGTTTGCAGGTACTCTGAATCAGGAAAGTAGGAACACATATACCTTTATTTAATATGGAGCCAGACAAGATGAAAGCATATTGACTGTGCAGAAAGCGGTCTGGGAGTCTGGCAAAAACACACTAAAGAGAAAAAGAAATCAGCATAATGCAGATCCTTGGCTTCCTACTCAGAGTAAGTCAGCATCTGATCTACTCTAGAATTAACTATCCCAAAGTTTGCCCAAGGAGAGTCACCTGCCTGTAGTCTGCAATGCAGGGTGTCTGCTGCTTCCAGGGAGCCGAAGCTAAGAGATGGCCTTATTTCTATCCTTGCCGTATCACAAGTTCACATACCTGTTGTAATGAATCGAATAAGAAGGTCCCAAACTCTGTACTTTCTTCCATGCAGGTGCTACCTTGTGCATAAGCCAGAGTAATGACTGTTTTAGCAGGCCCTAGCAGACTCATGGAATAGTAGTGAACAGGATCACACAGCAGTAAACCTTTCTATTTTGATTATATGATATGTATCTTTTCCCTCCCCTCTGAATTGCTTTTACCAGCAACAATGACAGCTGTCCATCTCTGGTCCCAAGCATGCAGAACTTGAAGGAGCAGCTGCTTCCTCTCTGAGCATAATAGCCCTGACATGAAT